CATTCTGCCTCATCATGGGCCCAACACAATGGGACCAAGCAACCATAAACCAAATCCTTGAAATCATGAGCCAAGATAAGTCTTTCCCTCTTATGTTTTCTTCAGGTGACAGAAAGCTGGCTAACACAACCCTGATGAAGAGCAGGGAAAATGATCATTGAAAAATGCTGTTTAACATCATCTCAGTCTCTTCCCTTTAAGCACTGTTTGTAGGCAATTGTCTTTTGAGGACGTGCTCAGTGTAGAGTTTCCCTCCCTCTTGGACTCCTCCTCAGACAGATGACAGTGGACAGAGGGTGGGTGAGGGTCTTCAATGGTGAGACGGGATCTTTATGAGGTATCCACTGGCTCTGAGTCAATGAGTCTGGTCTGCATGTGGTCAGATTCTGAACTCCACCCTTGCTGACTCAGCCTTACATCAGCTCTTTATGACACTGCAGAACCCTTTGGAGTGTCATCAACCCTGTGTTCCGGCTGTCTGTGTAGATTTGGTAATGAGGTCATCTTGTCCCTTACAATGGTGCTCCTCACAGCAGACCTACTGGCCTTCTGTACTCTGTCAATCTGTGTCCAAAGTGACACTGCAGGAACTCTGAGATGTCTTCTGGTCTTCACACAAGCCACACAAGGATGGAACACTCCCTAGAGCCTTCTCCTTACTAAAACATGTTTCCCAGTTTACTCTGCCACCCCTGGCCCTGTGTTAGCAAAGGCTATTCTGTGAGCAGTGTCCTCTCAGAGTACCACAGTCCTCTGCTTTTAGCTTTTCCTTCAAACTATCTCACTGGCCCCTCCTGCATTATAGCTTCAAGGAAGGGGGTGACCAGGCTGCAAAGGGATGACCAGTTGTTTCAAATACCTTCTCTCTCTTGCCCTTCTTGTCCTCCCTAGTAACTAAAATGGGTGCTTTCTTATCCTTTCCACAGAGTAGACTTCTTTATGAACCATCTTTGTTCACAGTTAGGACCACATACTTTGTCAAAGACAGAATACTCTTCGCTTTGTAATCCTGCTTTACCAATCCTCACACTATCCACCAGTGGACACCTCTTGCAGAACAGGCAGAGAATCTTATCCTCAGATAGACAACAGAGAAAAAAAAAGAACATATTTCAGAAGTATTAATCCTGTTACATCTACAAATGAAAGGTAATGGTTCTGAACAGAGTTATGCAAAAATCACCATAAAGAAACCCTAACTGGCTCCTGGGAAGGAAGCCTTGACTGAGATGTTGAGAAGGCCAAGTGAGGATCATGTAAACCGAGAGTAAGTTGATGAGCAATGGAAGTACAGACAGTGGAACCCTGCTTGGCAGTGCCCTGGAAGCTCTGGTCCAGGGAAGGGGACACAGGCTAATGACATTCAACACTGGAATTACTTTGTTTAGGATTAGCAAGCAACTGTTGGTGACTATTTGGCTTCCTGGATCTTTTTTTCTAGAAAGAGAGAACGGGTCTTTCAATATGACTACTGTGAACCACACAGCAATCCTGGTCCAATCAAAAAAAATTTTAAACTTTGTATACATCTCTTTCATATTGTTTAACAAGTACCACCCCCCAGAAAGAACGCCTTGTTACGTTAATAGAATGAATTCTTGATCTTTATTGGCTGAGGCCCAGATGTAGAACTGGGGTGAATTCACAAAGATAAAAAAACTACCTTATGAGGTATGTACCCTCTGAGAAAACTTCACCTCACCTAAGGCTCCTGCAGAGCTATCTTAGAATCATAGGTCAGGTAATGAAATTTCATATAGCAAATGGCTACCTGAATGGTACTCAGTCCAATGAATTTCATCCCAAAAATTATTGGACTTAAATAATGAAATAGAAACAACACATAGTATTGGCGTCTTTCTTTTTATCATCAAAATTGATCTGTGTCACCAATGACACAGAGCTACTTTATTTCATGTCTATGGGGAAATCCATTTCTTTAGAAAGTATAATTCTTATCTGGTTTGGAGAGGAAATGAAAAAGATGGTAGGGCTTTAAAAACTGAAAGTATTTTGTTATAGTCATACAATTGTCATATAATAATTACTTGCTCTGATGAGAACTTATACCCTGCTAACTTTATAGACTTCAAGTAAGGATTTGGAACAAAAGGAAAATAATAAAACTGATGACTGGTATCCTCCTATAACTTAATTTAATCCTTACAGTACCCCAGCAATAAAGTCATTATCATCTCCACTTTATAGAAAGAAAAGAAGAAGTTGTCCATTGTGAGTAGTAGAATCATGCAGGTTCACCCATTCTGCCACACAAACTCATGTCACGTTTCTACACTCTAGCACCCATGGCCCAGCCTTATGGAGAGCAACAGCCAGAATTCACCAGATCTACTGCCAACATGTCAGAAGAAGGGTTTTTTCCTCCAAAACATCAAGATCTAAATTATTTATTTTACAATATTAAATATATCTTACTAGTTAGAGCACCACCATGTGTCATCATGTTTTAATACTATTTCAAGTTTTCCAAAGTCTGAGAATTAACTTTTTAATCAGGGTATCAATGTAATTCAATTTTTCTCCTAGGGATAATTCAAAGAAATGCATGAAGTTGTGAATAGCCCACAATGAGGATGATGACTGCTGATTCATCCTCGTCAGGATATGCACAGCACTAGAAGGGAAGGGGAAGAAACAAAAGCTGGCTTCTAGAAGGCTCCTTTACATAGTTTAGTGGATTTGAACACTGTGGGCCACCAAGTGGTTTACCCTTAACTTTTAAAAAGATTCAGGATGGTTAAATCCTCTCTAATCTAGCTCAAAAATTTGGGGGATGGGTGGGCCAGAAGGACGCATTAACAGTGGAGTATATTGGGGAGCCACGTGGACCATGTCTCTGATCACTCTGTCAATTGATTATCTTTTGCCTTATGGGCAGCTGCACCCTCTGGGTGACTCTTTCTATGAATGAGTGAATGGTTCATGACTGACTCTTAGAGATATTTTGCTTACTGAAGGCTTGCTTTTAAAATGGAAAATATATATTGTTTGTAAGCAATGTGACGGTTAATCTTGATGACCACCTTGACAATGTCTCAGGGATAAGTAAAACACACCTCTGGCCATGTCCATGAGGGCATTTCCAAAGAAAAGTACCCTGTGGGAAAGTCACAACGGGGGCAAAAGACATGCCCTGAATGTGGGCGACACGATCTCTAAAGCTGGGGGCCCGGATGGAATAAAAGGGGGGAAGGTGAGAGTCCAGGAGTCCAGGCATTTCCTCTCTTTGAGTCCTGTCCACCATGAGGGGAGTGGCCTCTGTCAAATGCACTGTCACAATGATGTTTTGGCTCACCACAGGTCCAGAATCAATGAAGCCAAGGACTCTGGACTGAAACCGTGAACTAAAATAAACAATTCCAATCTTTAAGTTGTTTTATGTCAGATATATTGTCACAGAGACACAAAAGTAGCTAACACAGAGGTGTTAAATTTAATGTCATTAATAGATGAGTGCAATGATAACTAAAACCTGAACCTGTAGAATTCCTAATCAAAAAACCAGTTAAACAAATATCAATGTGTTGGAGTTATTTGTTTCAGCCTTTTATTTTCTTATGAAAGGATATAAATGTTAAAAGCAATTTAGAGGGATGAGAATTTATGAAAATATCAGGGTATTCATTGGCACTTACAGGTTTCTGAGTGACCCACAGAAAATGTTAAGCTTCTAATAGACAGATAGTTTTATTTGAATATAAAGGTTAAAATTTCAGATGCATTAGGGAAGAGAAATCATTCTAGTAGCTTTAAAATGCAATTAAATAATTTATATCATGACCATTCTAACATCGATCTGCAACCTTCTCAAAGTTTTTGGAATTCAAAAACAAAACAAAACAAAAAACAAAATGGAAACTCTCATTCTGGTGTCTATGACATGATCTAGCAGTCGAGAATTCATGATCCAGAAAAGCTCGAAACTGCTAGAAACATCCATCAGTATTTTACACACGTTGTTTTACACAGGTCCTAGGAAATCCTGCAAATCCTGGTGTAGATCACTTACATCTATTCGGAGTCAACAGCTCGAAAACTCTCGCTCTTTCCTTCTCCCCTTTCTCTTTCCTGCTGTAGCTGCAAATTCTGGTTTACCTCTCAGCTTAAGCTTTGTACCTTAACTATTCTTTCCTCAAAAAAAAAAAAAGGTTTCAGATTTCTTCAAATGTATACCTACCTGGGTATTTACAGATACCACATGCTTGTATTACTTCCAGAAGTATTTCTAGCCTTCTTTAAGCATAAGATTTAATAAATAAATGTTTAAGGTACTAAGTTTTATTAAAAAGATAAATATCAAACTTAAGTAATTCTAAAATATACAGGAACAAAGAAGGACAATTTTGATCAGGAGTCAAGATGTGAATTGCAAGATAGAGGCTTCCCACCCATTTTCATTAGCTTTCTAAACTAAATCTTAAATAGAAAGGCCCACCTGGAAAAGGTAAGGAGTAATTTGCATTCTGCTGTAACATTTTATCTCAGACTAGGTCACTACAAACCATTGCTATGTTTGGATGTTGATGTTCCCCAAAGGCCTAATGTATTAAAGGCTTGGCCTCTAGGGTGGTACTCCTGGGAGATGATGTAGATAGAACTCAATAGACCACTAGGGTCGTGTCTTCAAAGGGAATTGGAGGATCCTGGCCCAACCTCTCACTCTGCTTCCTGGCTTATGATGTGGGTGGTTTGTTCTGCCACACACTCCTGCCACAATGTGTTCCTCCTTCTAAGGACCTAACACACTTGATTTTAGACTAGACCACCAGAACCATGAGTCAAAAACAAACTCCTTTTTATAAGTGAATCTGTTACAGTATTGGAAAACTGACTAATACAACTGTATTGATTTTGACTTTCTAATACCAAGAATCAGAAGTTTACAACTGAATATTCAATAGCACTCTATTATAATCTGTAGTTTTAATCATTTTGCCAAAACTGATACAATATACAAGAAAACTAGAAGGGACACTCACCTGCCTCACAGTTTTCAGTCACAAGTCCTTTATATAGATGATGGCTGAAAGAAATTTTCACATCCTCTCCTTCCCTGTGAATGACCAAGAGACCACTGGTTGTCCTGGCTGGGGCCCCTTGATCTGTGACTTTTAACTGCAGCCAGATAGGAAAATATTCCAAAGTTGGGTTTTGCTGAAGTTTAATTTCTCCTGTATATTCATTGATAGAAAACATTGACTGGGTATTTGCAAAACTGAAAGTGACAGTTCCATTGGGCCCCACATCTGGATCACAGGCTCTCAGAAGAGCAACTGTCTGGTTTGTAAGCAAATGGGGTGAAAGAGTAACATCGAAGGGGTTTTGTTCCCAAACTGGGTCATTATCATTAGCATCAGCGACAGATACACTAATGGTTACTGTGGTGCTTCTTGAGCCTTGGATGCTACAGTCTCTGGCTACAGCCCGAAATGTGTACTGAGATCTGGCTTCTCGATCGAGCCTGTGGCCAGTTCTTAGTGTTCCTATCACAGGATCAATGGTAAAGGCACCAGAAGACTCATCCATCAGGAAATACTCTGTTTGCCCATTCAGGCCTTCATCCTTATCCACAGCGGACAGCACCAGAACCACAGTTCCCACTTCAGCATCTTCTGTCACAGAGCACTGGTAATGAAGCCTTGGAAACCAAGGGCTATGGTCATTGTCATCCAAAACCCTAACTTGCAGCTCTATCACAGAGCTCTGAGGTGGATCCCCCAAGTCAGAGCACAGGATGACAAGGGTAAAATTGTTGACTTGCTCCCGGTCCAAAGCACGAGTGGTTGAGAGTTCTCCTGAAGTTTCATGAATAGCAAAGTAGTTGTTGGTGTTTCCTTCTGTTATAGAAAACAATGGAAAACTTATTTGAATTGGAAAAGCAGTAGCTTTTTGCAGGCATTATATATATTTGTTTATTTATTCATTCAAAAATATTTATTTCCTGATTATTCTAGTAATTTTGTAAGTATTGAGGAAAGAATAGTGAGCATAATAAAATTAAAGTCCCTAGCCATATGAAACATCAGTTAAGGATATAAATAATATGACTCAATATACATCTTAATTGAATCAATAACTCATGTGCAACAATTTGATTTTTGTGATTATTTACAAATTTTTATATTTTTCCTCTTGGAAACAATAGAATGTGTATCTTATTTGAAATAAAACAGAAGTCGGAAATAAGAAACAGGGTAACAAGTCCACTTTTGGATAGCACTAAAAATCTAATAGATCAATTACAGTAAATTTGCCAAGTGTTACTCACTACAGAGTTTATGCCAGCTGTACTACTGTGGTGAGCTGCCTCTCCTGCACCCACCCACCCCTGCCCCACCACTTCCTACATGAGTCCTAACACTTCGGTTAGATCAGGTGGACACTCGCCTAGTTCTTTCATGACATTAACAAGGATGGTGTTTTATTCATCTGTGTGTCCTTAAAAAAAAAATCCCCTTTACTATTTTCCATGGCATCAACTATACTAAAAGTTACAATTGAACACAAAGACAAAATGTTTCAAGGTCATTCAGGTAAATTAGTGGGGGAAAATGTGGTTCAAAGACTTGCTAGCCAAACTCCTGGGTGAATGGCAGGATGAAAATCCCCAGAGTAATGCAAGTACCAAAGGTTTATGATGGCAAAGTGGCTTTCAGAGAAGACTTCTTCAATAGCTGAGGAGTCCTACATTTGTATTATAAGACATACTCTATACCTTAACCCTAACACATGCTAGGCAAGTATTCTACCACTGAGCTACACTTGTTTTTATTTTGTTCTTGAGTTGGGTCTCATCACTCTTTGTCCCAGCTGGCTTGAACTTTCGTTCCCCCACCTCACCTCCCAAGGAGTAGCTGGAATCATAGGTTTGCACCACGAGGCCCAGCTCAAGCCGGTTTTTTAAAGAACGTGGAGGACACTGGTGCAGGCTGACTATGGGAAGAGGTAGAGAGGAAAGTCACAGTGCCACCAGTTCTTATCAGATGTGCATTTTATAGAGAAATACAACAGACATGCAATACAGAAGAATCACCATATAGTGAGCATCAACTCAGTATCCTAGAGAGAATTTTAATTGAAAAATACTTACTGACTATGTGGTATTTGACAGCTCCGTTACTGCCAGCATCTATGTCAAAGGCGAAAACAGTGTAGACCACCCCTGGTTCTTGGTTTTCCAGAACCTCAATGTCATGACTGGGGACAATAAATTCCGGTGCATGATCATTTTCATCTTCAACAGTGCATCGAATTATTGTGGTGCTGGACAATGACGGGACTCCCCCATCTTGCACAAGTACTGCCATGGAACACAAAGACAGATGGACTGTGACCATTAACTCATATCTAAAATGTATCATTTTATGATATAACTCTGGATCAATACTATTTTATTTAAAGCTATTCTTCTGAAATGTAAAATCTACATCACTGGCCTTTCTGGGTTTTCTATAGCATGCACACCCTTACCTCGAAGGGTGAAAACTTCCTGAATTTCTCTGTCAAGCATGGCGGTTGTCACCACTTCTCCATTGTCAGGATTGATCTTGAACAACCCAGAGGAAGCACCTGGCATGATTTCAAACTGAAGCTTGGAATTGATTCCTTAAGAAAAAGATAAAGAAAAACCTAGCAATTATCCCTCTGGATAATTTGGCCATTTTCTTTTTCCTTTAAGCATATTAGGCCATCCAGGAGAAAGGCAAGACTCTTAAACAGCCTTCAAATTAAGGTAAAAGAAAATCCTGTTGGCTGTTCTTGCAAAATAAAAGGCCTCATGAGCTCAAATGCTTGATTTTCAAAAGTCTTATGAGACCTTCCCACAGTGAATGCTTAGGATTTTTTCCTTCCCATAAAATTTTTCTTATGAGTGTCAACTCTACAACATATTCCTAATTATGCCTTCTAACACTCCTGATTGTAATTTAATGACATGATTGTAAGCTTGGGGGGCAAATGACAATTTCTGTGGGTCGACCCTCTATTTAAAAGCCTGTGCACAGTTACAGGACTCTGTTTATTTTCAACCTCAGGAGGCCTGCAGCTGCTTAGGCGTTTATTTTTGTTTTGTTTTTTACTTAGTAGTCAGTCTCTTATCTAAAGTGAGAAATATGTTACCACATTATCGAGCATTTTGAAAACAATCCTTCCCATATTTTTGTGGTTTCAACTAGTGACTTGCTTCTTCCTCCTCGCACCCTCCAGAACAAACTTGAGAACTAGGAAAATAAAAATGAGATAGAGATGATTTGCTTTAATTCCATCCACTTACTAAGCAAACTGGAAACGTGAATCTGAAGATGCTTAGTGGTATCCTCGCGACACACACCTAGTGAAGGACATGTGCGCACCTGTGCGAGTACACACATTCATACGTGTGCTCGTAGACCTCAACACCTGCAGCCCCATGTCATCTTCAGGATGCCCTTTGAGGACACCTCTCCTCCATTTCTTTCTTTCCTATCCAGTCCAGCCCCAAGTGCTCTCACTTCAGCAACCTTGCTTCTTTATTCAGGTCCTGTGACGGTTCTGCCAAAGATGCTTAGCAAAGCCTCAGATGACCCATTCCTCTGTTCTCCTTGATTATCCAACAAAGGTTGAGATGGAGAAAATGTCCCAACAGCATAGATGAAGCCCACTGAAATGTCAGTGCCAGCTGGAAATTTTTCCTGGATTGCCCTTACCCTGTTTGAGTCTCCTGCCACACCCCTCATGGCTCACTCTCACAGATCACTTCCTTTGCATTTTCCAAAAGGCACGGAGATGTGACTAAAGAACTTCCATAAATTTCTGCACCTATATTCAACTCTACCTCCAACTTTCTGTCTCAAATGCAAAAGTAATTCTTCAACTACTCTGTCACAGAATTTGCCTGTCAATACTAGTCTTTCTCCAAAATGTTTTTTTATTCAATTATATTCTTCACTAGCTATAAGACCTTTTCCCCATCTCTTTATATCCAAATTTCATCTGAAAACTCTAGCCATTCTTTGCAGGCAGCTTCAAGCTATTGTCATTCCCCGATACCCTTTCTACTATGAACAGTGACTTTCTGGTTCCAAAATTCACTGACCATCTTTAGTTCTTACCTGACCTGGCTTCTCTGTGCCATCACATATTACTGCCTGATATTTTAAGTCAGAAAGGAAGGAACAGAAGGAGAGAGAGAGGGAAACAAATAGGGGAGGGGGAATATAAAAAAAGAAAAGAATTTTCTTCTGTTTTTTTGGGGGTGTTGAGGGCTGAACCCTGAGCCTCAAGCATGCTAGGCAAGTACTCAGCTACGACCTTGACCCTTGTTTTTTCTTTATGATATTTTTTTTCTCCTAATTTCTGGAGTGGGATGCAGGGATTTTTTTTTTGTATTAACACTGATATACTGGCCATCCTTTCACTAGCATCTCATTTTACACAGTCATTTTACCTTCCTCCTAATCCAATGACTTCAGTTCTACCCAAATGCAGATAACACCACATACCCCCATTGAGCTTCAACAATTTGGTTGTTTAATTTCTTGCTCCCTCACTCCCTCTTCCCTTCCTCCTTTCTGTCCTTCCTCCCTCTCTCCTTCCTTCCCTCCCTCCCTTCCTTCTTTCTTCTCTTCATTTATACAATGCACATGTATTGAATGGTAGGCACTGAAAGATATCACTGAATAGTTTTCTTGGTTCTCAGTTTCCCTCTACTGGAGGAGACAGTTAAATCAATGAGTTACAGAAAACAGGATAAAATATAGGAAATTACTGAGGCAGTGGGCCAGGGAAGACTTGTCACAGGTAGATTGCTTGTTCATTAATTATCTCACCCAATAAACATAGATAGTGGTATTAGGTCGTAAGGTACCATACCAGGTACTAAAAATGTAACTGCTAGCAGGAAGATGAATTCTGTACTCTCACAGTGCTTACAGTACAGCACTGAATGCAAGTAAGTAAACAGGCAATTACAATTGTACACGTTAAGACATGACTGGGTACACTGAGTCATGAGACCCTTAAAATGAGTAGAGGGAATAAAAGGTGTTTGTATGCATTCAAACCAAAATCCAAACACTTTGCCAGAGCCTACAAAGTCCTGTAAAATGTGGACCTGTTTACTCCCCGGCCTCTTCTCATGAGCTCACTCCCCTGTTCCACAGGCTTCCCTTCTGTTCTCTGAACATGCTAAGTTTCTTTTCGTTGGGGTCTCTGTATTTGTTGCTCTGTCTGTCTGCTATTCCTTCATTTCTCACACGACAACGTGGTATTCTTTAACTATTGTGTCTCAGATTGAAATCCATTCTTCTACACTCTGCCCCCTGGTGGTGGGTCTGGGGATTGGAAACCATAGTTCTCTATCAACCAACTCCCTTTGAGGGTCTGTCACAAAGGTACAATAGAGGGAAACTGGGGGTCAGAGGAAGAGGAAATGGGATGTCCTTTTCCTAGCTGTTTGCTGTCTCTATCAGCAATGCTATTCATACTCTCTCAGCACTACCGGAACCAGGCTCTGCAATGACCCTTCTCTCGTGTTCTTCCTTGGTTCTGTTAATTCAAACCTTTCTCCTTGTTTCCCAGTGGTAGCTGCTTTCTGCAGTTATTTTTTTCTAGGCTACCTTAGTATTCTCTGTGATTACTCAGCTGTCCAACACCTGTGCTGTATTATCTCAGTTTTGCTGACTGAACATGACTGATAAGAGTATTTGGCAAAAGGAGTATCTCAGGTAGCAGGGATTCTGGGATTCAAGTATTCAAGGATTCTGACTCTATCTTTGTCCTTGATGCAGTGCTGAATTCCTTACCATAGGAAATAGAATACCAGTAATTCAGCACTCGAGGTGTATCATGACTAATTAAATGATCACCAATGTTTGACTGTGGTGAAGAGACTATTCATAAAGACTCAACTCTTTTGGTAAACCTAATGGTACTGGCTTTGACTACAATGGTAAAAAGGAATAAGATGTAGAATGATATTTTGAAGGTACTAGGAATTTACAGAGAGAAAATTACAAGCAGAAACTTTAAAGTCATAGAAAACTGGCATGCTCCTATGGGAGCCCTAACGTTAATCTCCCCTAGGACCAGACCCACACTGAGTGGCAGATGCAAAAGGCACCTTGTAAGGGATGCCTGTGCCATGAATACTCATAACCAGAGTCAGAATCCAACTTGTTATAGGCTGCCTAATGCACATCCAGCTCAATCAGAGATAGCTTGTGCTTCCTAAAGAGCAGTAAGATTTTTCTGACATACTGGCCTAACTCTGGGGACTATGTGTAGAAATCAATTTTAAGTATTGAAACCCAGGAAAATAAATTAAAACACTGACCTGGAATGGGTTTATTGATATAGGGTGTCTACTAGGAATTCTGATTTCTTTGTTTGGTTGAATTCAACAGGTGATCTATAGTCACTGAAGTTGAAATACCAGCTCTTCCCTTGCATACTCTGCAGTAAAGAATCCCAAACTTGGGCTGGTGGCATAGCTCAAGTAATAGAGCCCTTGTCTAGCATATGTGAGATGCTGGATGCAATCCAGCCCTGGAGAAGGCATTTTGTAATATTTCATAGCAATTTGTAAGGACTGTCAGAAATCACTTGGCTTTCACCCAGCAGAAACAACAATACAACTTTATGCAAACTCTTCCTCTGTTAACTGTCATCAACTCAGCAGAGATATTGATCATCTTGGCACCCAACAGCACATCCCATTGATTCACTGCTCTGAGGATATCATGATAATTAGATCTGAAGAGCAGAGAGTAGCAAGTAATTTAGATATCTTATTTGGTTATATGTGTTAGGCCAGGGATTGGCAAACTGCAGCCCACTCGTCAAATCTGGCCCATTCTGTGTGTTGTAAAGTTTTATCAAAATGCTGCAGTACTCATGTGTTATCTATGGTGCTGTCAGAGTTGAGCAACAGAGACCTGCAAAACCTAAAATACTTACTATCTAGATCTTTATAGGAACAAGTTTGCAGGAGCTTGTCCTGAGGTAAAGGGTAGGAGAGTAACAGGAACGGAAGATAGAAGTCACTTGGAGTCACTACACAAAATGCCTGGTTATTAAGCTAAAAGAGACAGCACTTTATCTCTTTCCCTCAAAAATAACAACAGGGATTAAGAAATTCTGACTGGGGGAGAGAGTTGTTTTCAGATTAACTTTTTGGGAAGACCATTTTCCATGTAATTCATTAACTGCACAATGCCCACATCTTCAGGCATTTCTAAAGCAAAAAATAGCATCATGTCTGGTTGATTGTTTGAAGGAATAAATAAATGAATGAATTTCAAAGAGGTAAGGCAACCAGAAGAGTTTATGTCTCAGAGCTTATGTCTATCAGACCAGATGGTGGAAAATATTTACTGAGCTCCTATATTATATATATTGCATTATTGTCCTAAGAATCTGGGATAAAAGTAAATAAAGTGTTCTGACCCTAGGAGTTCATAAACTAAAGGGAAGGCAGACCATATTATACAATGCTTTCAGTGCAGTAAGAGTGTAGATCAAAGTTTTAATGGTGATTGTCTGAGTGGGTAAGGTCATGATTGGCTCTTATCTTTTCAGTTTACTTTTGACCTTTCTGTAAATGCATTTATAGTAGAAATCTGTATAGAAAAAAATTTAAATAGAGAGGGCCAACAAGATATCAACAAAAGGCAAGCCGAATAGTCATGAAGATTAGAAATACCACAGCCTACCCTACCTGTATATATAGGTGGTGGCTTCAATTAGCATGTCACTGTGACTTCCTCTAGCAAAGTTCCATGACTTCAGATTGGAGGATTTAAGCTTCGAAATGCCTGATAGTCTAGCTCACTCTAAATTCCTCTATTAGAACTTGGGTAAAAAATCAAAGTTGCTAGAATTAGGCACAAAGTGAGTAAGATTGATTTGTGCCTGAATCCGCTAAGTCTCCTTTTGCACCCCTGGGTGGTGTTGAATTTAAACCTGTGGACAAGTGCTGTTGGTGAAGAACAAGAGAGGTGCTCTGAGTAACCATTAATAACGTGCACACAAATGGTGGAGGGACATTTTGTCAAGTGGAGTGTCTACTAGAGTAAGAAATGATTACAAAATGCTATACATGATACTTTAGCATCCATATCTTTTGATATATATATTTATCAATACATATATATATATGAATATACCAAAAATATATGGATACATTTCCTTTTGAAGGGTATGCAAAATGGTACCTTATTATTGCTATAGCAATAATAAAGGGATAAAGCTATTGGCCTCATATAAGTATTTCAAAAGCTAAGGAACTCCTATTCTTCTTTCATTGATTCTAAGACATTTTCCCCCCACATTTTACATTTCTAAAATTAGATGCATCTTATAATTAATGGTGTCTTAGAGACAATGAAATTCTGTGTCTTTTCCTGGTTCAAAATGTAGGTTTGAAAGGTGCCATGGTTCATCCAGCACAGAGCAAGACATTTCAGGAAATCAGATAACAGAGTTTATCCAAAATAACCCCAGGTACAGGATACATTTCCATGGACTATAGAATAGCATCTCATTAACACTTCTGTATTTTTGTACAGCAATGTAGTGCTAAATTATTTTGGATTCATAACTACTGAGTCAATGTATCAGCCCATGTGAGTTATCTTCTTTGGGGGGACCCCTTCCTCCAGGGGACTGGGCGGGGGACCACATAGGGGTAGATCTTTGCTCCCTAACAATGGAGCTCTTGTTGGAGACACCAAATACTAGAGCAGTTTTAATACCACAGTTAAAATCTGGTAGTTGTTTTTTCCTTTTAATACAAGAAGAAACTCCTGCTAGAATTAGTGTGAGTCATACATCATAAACATTCAGTGCTCAAATCCCCATGGGTTTGAATGCCAAACACTGTACGCTTGCATTTTTTTAAGTTACACTGTAGAATGCTAGAAAACATATGTTGAGCTCTCTGGTATTAAGTAACACTATAGTATTTTTAAAAAATACATACTATAAAGTAAACCATTCATAAATTCCAACGAGATGCCAGTTATGTTAAAATCTTGACTACGTCATTTAACTCTCACGCACAGTCCTATTTCATTGTTTTAACCCACTAAGGGAGGGAAAAAGAGACAGAGAGAAAATATATTCAAAAGCACATACAAAGACACAAATATTCACATGTATTTACATAACCACCTACTTAACAGATCTGGCCTCATTAAAAACACTGAGATTTCCAGGAATCCAATCCTTTTCCAAAGCTTATAAAAATACATAAGTCTTACAAAGCTGTTAAGGAGTGTTTTGAACATCCATTAATACAAGGGAGCAAAACCAATAATTCTGTATCTAAAAAATCTTTAGAATAATCAGTTTTCGATTTAGTTACAATTTACAGGTTGTACACAATTCATTCCAAAAGAAAATGACATTAACACTGAGCAACTTAACAGCAAAAACCAGAAAAGTATATTTGTGGTAATCATCTTTAGTTAATATGTGCAAAATTTGAGACAAATTCTTTTTTTCTTCTTCAAACATTAGGGGAAGAAATTATTTTAAAAGAGTTCATTACAAAAATACAATCCATAAAGTAAGGCCAAGAGAGGAAGCATTTGACATAACTACTAAACCACACAGCGTTAGCATAAGTTCAGTGTACATTATGGGAAGTGGTTTCCATGTCACCCACAGCCGTGTATTGCTCTGTTTACAACAGAGGACATTCTAATAGAACTTTACTGAGCCATAATTATTGTGAAACCAAAGTCTGTGTATGTTCTCCATTGTTTCCAACACCCTAAAAACGAATATTGCCAGAAATGTGCTAGACAAATTTTCTAAGCACACAGTGGGATAAACAACTGTTAGCATGCCCTAGTCCTGGTCTTTGAGCACAGGAAGAAAAACTCTGTGATCACACTGCCCCACTCTGGTCAAAAGAGAGAAAAATAGGTCAGCCCTTGAAAAAGTGTAGCACGCCATACAAATTCTTACCAAATGTATTTCCAAAAAGGCCAACCAGCCAAATGACATAAAATTTAACTTGAAAGTTCAATAAAATCTGTTACCTTTGTGATTAACAATTTAGGGTGGTAATGTTACTGTTAATATTACTATTTTCATAGAAACATCTATTACAATTCTTGTAAGAACAGAACAAAATCATATACTTGTTTCTAATGCCACATGCTAGATACAAATGCACATCTAAAATATTACCTTATCAAACTATTTGTATTACTGCAGATGAGAAAATTCAGAATATGCTGTAATAGAAAACACTGCACTGTATTTTTATCATTATTTTGTTTAAAATAAAAGCAGAGTATTATTAAGGTTACCAAACCTCAGATGCCAAGAGAGACATAGTGATATTGCAAAGAAAGTTTAAGAAATTTAAAAATTCCTAGTCACAGTAACCGTTCACTTCAGTCCTTTGTCCTTACTCAGTGCGTGGTAGTAATTATAGCGGTAATATCAGTGAAGATGGACGTTAGCATTTTTGGCCACTTATTGTGCCAGACACTAGTCTAAGCTCTTTACAGGTCATAATTCATTCAGACTTGTAAAAGAAATACAAATTAAGCACTGTTTTTACCTCTATTTTATACTTAAGCATAGGAACAGAGAGAATTAGAAATCTGTCCAGTGTTAAACACTTAAGGAAGAGATAAGTCTAGGAGTCAAAGTTAGGAAGTCCAATGTCAGCACCAGAGCTCATCCCTGATGCAATAAACTGAAGAAATAAATACCCATTTGTCTTCAATGCATCTATTACACTCTGAAATAAAAGTGATATTTTCTCTATACTTCTCTTTATCATAGTCAAATCAATAAATTGTTAATTGTATTGTCACTGTAATCTAATAATAATAAATATCAGTACAAATAAATGCTATACAAAAGCACATATTATATTTATGAAGGGTTTTGTGCTTGCAGATGAAAGAAATACTAAAAATTTGAGATAGCTAAATACTACTCATTTTCCATAATTATTTTAAATTATGTCAATGATAACTTTTTAGTATTTTTAGCATCCATTACCTGGTTTCCATATGTTTTAATTACCTGAATCTCTGTCCTCGGCTTCAACCCTTGTGACAAACTCTCCTGGGCTTTGGTTTTCTTTAACCGAAGCTTCATACAGGTGCTGCTTAAACACTGGAGCCTCATCATTCACATCCAGGACAGTCACCGTCAAAGTCTGGGATGAAGACAGGGCTGGTGTGCCATCATCCTGGGCCAGGAGGGTCAGGATGTGCCGAGTTTTCATTTCATAATTCAAAGGACAAGCTGTAGTTAGTAAGCCTGTTTTGAAAGAGAAGAAAAGCAATACATTCTAAATATTTGTTAGGTCAGTTAAGTTTCTTCTACCTATGTCTCACCTACCTAACTTAACTTGATAAAAACTCAGAAGTTTTCACTAGTAAAGAGAGAATTATAAAAAAGCGTGAATTATAATGACCCAACTTTAAATTTATGCATTAGCTATAATAATAAAAAAATTAACAATTTTAGTCAGGCTAGTCCATTTAAATTAGAAGGATGAAAAACAAGTCAGAAATAATCTATCCTATACCAATGTCTACTCAGAGGAATAATTTATTATTAAATCAATTATTTATTATTATAGTAATTATCCTACTCACAGAAATTATTTATCTATCCAATATTCCCCTCACTTTAAACGATATATCCAATACTATGCATATATTTTTTTCATGTCACATGACATGTTTAAAAGGAACTCAGTTATAAAAATGCAACTATGACTACATTGTTTAAGACAGTTGACTTTTGTCAAACAGTCTCATTCTACTTACTGAGTTAACTGCTTTTTGCTTTGTTAACAATAAAGATCAGAGATGTTACAAATCAGGCAATAAAATTCACAAATAAAACAAGTTCCTATCTCTCTGCCATTAAGCACCATAACCCGTGTAAGTGTTACACATAGAGAACCATTATATAATTCCAACTGTCACATTTCTCTCTTAGAATGGTTGATTTCTTCTCTGATCCTCTAAGAACTTTTCTTCAAATAATTGAAGAGGTTTATTGAATCAGATTTTATGAAATAGTTTCATACTTCACTGCCATTAGTCATTGAAAACTCACTATGTCTTCTTGATAAGAAACATAAGCCCGTGAGAGGGGAAAAAAAGCCCATCTCATATGAATGAATACACTTGGCAATTATCTTTTTATGCCTTTGAAAAATACCTCAACTGAAACAGCCACTGAAATTGCTCAAGATTCATGATGTGTATATTACTGAGACAAAATTCTAATTTTATTCATCCTCGTTAGCAATCTGAAATAGACTTTAGCCATGTTGGAAAACATTCTAAGTATTGTTGAAATGGGTCCTTGGAGAGCCCCAGTTCTCACAGAAACCAGCAGCCCGTATCTGGAGAATCTCTCTGTCAGTTGGGCATTTAGGAGGTGTCCCTTGCATGCCTCAGAATGGAACCATATGTACAGGATTTAATAAATATTTTGATGAAATTTTCCAACAGAACAGAGCCAGACTATAATCACAACTCCAAATCCTACACAATTTCATTCCAAATAATGCTCTTATTAACATTTGGGCCAAATGGTATATATCTGAGATTTTTTCCCAAGGCTCTTGTCAAAATGACTTTACTTTTTAGAGAATGAGTTCATTGTCCATTAATTTTTCAATATTCTCTGAAAATCGAGTAGAGGGAAGTATTCATTTCCAAATTCACAAAACTGATACTTTGTACATACTCTTTCATCAAGTTACATAAAAACTACTAATAGTTGTCTGGCCACGTAGTGAGCACAAGACAACTGAAGTGACCATAAGTGACATTTCTTCAGGGCATTTAACAGTGAAAAAGTGCCTCTGCCAAAAATAAAATGTCACCATTGATGTGAAAAGCAAGAGCCTTAATGTCCAGGTGAATTCAACTGTTATTTCCAATATCTGTTTCCATATCAAAAAGTCTTCAAATAATTATCGATTGTCCTGTTCCTACCTTGATTTACTTTGGTACTATGTCAAGACCCATAAAGGTGGCACAGAAATTTGCTATTATATATTCAGCCTACAAGATATGAGCTAGCCACAAAGCATAGTTTACAAAAGTAACAAACAGGCCAATAAAGGCTGGTTCTCCAAATACAACCTCTGTGTTCATCATGTATACATAACAAGTCAAAATTCAAAGCAGATTTAAAGCATTTTAAGGGGGAACAATGAAAAGGATAAATGTAAACAAGTAATAACAGGCTTTAAATAAAAGTGAAAGAAAAAAAGGCACCAAAATCAGAAAGGAAGGAGGAAAATTTGAGAGGACTGCATGACCATGTAAAAAGAAAACCCTAATGACTTTACCAAAAAGTTATTAGAGCAAATAAATTCAGTAAAGTTACAAAATACAAAATCAAGGTATAAGAGCTAGTTGACCTCTATACACTAAGAAGGAAGCATTATCTGGAAAGGAAATTAGGAAAACAACCTCATTTATAATAGCACCAAAAGGAATAAAATACTTAGGAAAACTTAACTAAGGAGGTAAGCAATGTATGTACTGAAAATCACAGAGCATTAATAAAAGAAATGAAAGACAACAAAAAATGGGAAGATATCACCTATTAATGAAGTGGAAGACTTAATATAGTTACCATGTTCAAAGTATCAAAAGTGATCTACAGATTCAATGCTATACCTTACCAAAATTCCAATGGCAATTTTTGTACAAACAGAAAAGAATCTTAAATTCATAAGGAATTTAAATGACCCCAAATAGCCAAAATAATCTTGAGAAAGAAAGGCCACAACTGGAGGCCTCATACTTCCTGATCTCAAAACATATTATAAAGTTACAGTAATCAAAGCAGTATGATACTAGTCTAAAGACAGTCATACAGACCAGTGAAACACAGTAGAGAGCCCAGAAATAAATACACATGTATGCTCAACTGATCTTAGACAAGGGTAGCAGGGATTCACAATGGGGAAAGGATAATCCTTCAACAAATGCTGTGCATATCCACATGTAAAGAATGAAATTAGAACATTATTTTATACCCTATGTGAAAATAAACTGGTTATATTAAGGACATAAATATAAGACCTAAAATTGTAAAACTTCTATAAGAAAACATAGGGGGAAAGCTTTGTGACATTGGTCTTGGCAATGACATCATAACATGACAAAAAAAAAAAAACTACTGAAACAAAAATAAGTAAGTAGAACTTCAGCCAACTAAGAAGCTTCTACACAGCAAAGAAAAGGGCAACCCATATTCCAAGGGAGGAAATATTTACAAACCATACATCTGCTGGAAGGTTAATGGCCAGAATATATAAAGAACTCCTGCAACTAAGCAAGAAAAAATAAACAAATGCAACAAACTGACTTAAGAATGAAAAGAGAACTTGAATAGACACTTTTTCAAAGGAAACTTACAAATGGCCAAAGAAATATATGATAAAATGCTCAGTGTCACTAATCATACAGGAAATGAACATCAGAACCACCACAAAGTATCACCTTACAATTATCAAAATGGCTGGTATCAAAAAACAAAAGACAAGAGGAGTTGGCAAAGATAAGGAAAGACTGAAACCCTTGCAGGTTGTTGGGACTCTTGGCAGAATGTTCTCAACGTCCAACCATGTTATTGCTTATAACAGATTTTCCTTCTTTTTAAAGGCCAAAGAGTACTCCATTGTACGTACATTGTGGCATTTACAAAAGTTCTTACAATATATCAAATATACCATACTTAGGTGGGAGGGTGACTCCCCTCCACCATTCTCCTTTATCCTCCCTCCTCCAATTCCTGGAATACTTTCCACAGGTCTTATTTTTCCATTTATATACACATGTACATAGTATTTGCACATACTCACCCTTCCACACCCTTTCCCACTTCCAGTCACAGAAGACAAAAGCTACATGGCTGTACTTCTGTGAGGCTTTAAATGGTCAAATTAATAGAATCATAGAATGGAATGGTGGATGTCAACAGCTGGATAGAGGAGGAAATGGGGAAAAATGGAAGTTTCATTTAAGCACGATGAATAAGCTGTAGGGATCTATTGTACAACACTGCATTCTCAGTCAAGAATAATGTACTGTGCAAATAAGATCACTAGAAGAGTAGGGATCCTGTTAAATTTTACCAGTGTAAGATAAAATAAAACGATTTAAAAGTATCATATAGGCACTGTACCTGACGATTCATCTAGCACAAAGACCATGTTCTCGTTTCCTGAGAGGATGCTGTAGGTTACTGTTCCATTCCTCCCTTCATCTGGATCGTGAGCACTTACATGGTGCACCACGGAGCCCACCCTGGCGTCCTCTCTGACATAGGCCATGGGGACGGATGTGAAAGTGGGGCTGTGGTCATTTACATCCAAGATCACCACTTCTGCTATCAGCGACCTCAGTCGCCGGTCTGTCACGTTCACAGCCTGATCAGATGCTGTCACGGTCAGGACAATGGTTGGCATGCTCTCTCTGTCCAGGAGCGATGCGGTGACCAGTGTGCCAAAGGAGGGGTGGATGAGAAAGGGATTCATTCCAGCGTGGTGGGATTCAATGACGTATTGGATCCTACTGTTCAGAAAGCTGCCATCACCGTCTTTGGCATGGAAGACATACACCAGGGTACCCACGGGAACATTCTCTTCTACACTTATCACAATGAACTCATCCTGGAAAGATGGGGAGTGGTCATTCTGATCTTCCACGTCAATACTAAGGAAGACCGTGCTGTCTAGGGGAGGACTCTGGCTATCGTCTGTAGTAATCACCCTGAAAAGATAACGAGATGTCATTTCATAGTCAAGTTCCTGAGAAAGGAGCAAGTCTCCTGTTGAGCTGTCGATTTCAAAGTGTCCATCCTTGTCCTCTGCTGCAATACTAAAATGTGACTTTCCATAATGATGTGACTGACGGTGGTCGGGTGACTTTATCAGGCTCATTATTTTTGCAGGTTTCAAGTTTTCTGGTATAACTAAATGTCTGATATTCTGAGAACCGAAAACTCTCCCTTTGGAAAGAGGTATCACCTGAAAGAAGAATCAAAAGGAGCTGTTAATTTGGAATATTTTTATGTAGTTTTTTTAATAGCCAATTAAATACTGACAGATAATATTAACTATCAATATATTATAATATTATTTTGGAACTTTATTCCTATTTGTGTGATTTACATGGTAATTAGTGAGAAAACATCTTTTATATGATATAATTCCAGTATGACTCAGAAGATTGAAAAATTCTATAATATTTTAGGTAATAAGAAACTGCACACTTTTAAGCTGCAATGTACAAAATGATAGTTTTGTGAAGTCTTGCTACTGTTAAGCTGAAATGTAGCCTTGTTTCTCTCCAATGGAATGCGGGATGGTGAGTTCTATAGATTACTCTAAATCCCAGAGACCAAACTATCCTCAATGATCTTTTTGTGCATTTCAATATCCCATGTCTTTATCTGAAACAAAACACTTGCTATAGGAGCATATCAATTTTCTCCTGCTCCATATTTCCTTAATGTATAGAAAATATAATTGGAAAACAGAACTCGTGGGGAAACACATTCTTGATCATTACCTATCCCAATATTAATATTGTGGATTAGCATGTGTGTGAAAGAAATCTAGTTATGCGCAACCATCTTGACTCTGAATAGTTGGTATAATTTGGAGGAGGTGGGGAAAGGGTGTGGGAGGGTGAACATAGTGCAAATTCTGTGTGCACATGTACATAAATGGAAAAATGAGACCTGCTGAAACTATTCCAGGAATGAGGGGAGGGAGGATAAAGGAGAATGATGGAGGGAGAGTAAATTCAAGTATGATGCATTTGCTATATTACAAGAATTTTTGTAAATACCACAATGTACCCCCACCAAGCACAATAAAAATTTAAAAATATACTCCCACAACTTGCTTGCTCATTAAAATTAATGTAAAGTCTTAAACTATGGAACCTGAACCACTGTTCTAAGCTTTTAAAAATTACAGAAAATGATCCAATTTATTACATGGCCATTCATTTTAAAACAAGTTTCTCCTGGAAACATACCAGGTCCTTGCATTAGGAATAAGTAAAAGAAAAGGCAGCTTTTGTTCATCATAACAAAGCAACATAAATACAAATGTCATGTACTGGTGAGTATCTTGTCAAGAACTATATAAACCTAATTCAAAATTTATTTGATTTAAATCATTTCCTACTAATAGCAAGAAGATCAGTATGTGTAATAATTTCATAAAAATAGTATTTGTACACTGAGTGCATCTTTACACACTTGTATAAGAATCAAATGAAGGGTGGGCATGGTGGCTCACATCTATAATCCCAGCTACTCAGAAGGCAGAGATCACATGTATCACAGTTTGAGGCCAGCCCAAGCAAAAACTTCATGAAACCCCAATTCAACCACTAAAAGCTGAGTGTGGTGGAGCACACCTGTCATCCCAGCTCTATAGGAAGTGTAAACAGGAGGAACACAGTCCAGAGCAGACTGAGTATAAATGCAAGACCCAATCTAAAAAAATTAAAGCAAAAAAAGACTGGGGCATGGCTCACATGATACAGCGCCTGTCTAGCTAATATATCGTCCTGAGTTCAAATCCCACACTGCCCCCCTCAAAAAAGAATCAAATGAAACGTTCAAAATGTTCTTCCACATTTTAGGTGACAATATTACCTGTATATTGATAATTGCTTGTCCTTGAAGTGGAGGCACTCCCTGGTCACTGGCAATAACTGTCATCCTGTAGGTAGGTCTGTAGTCAAATGAAAGTATTGTGGCTGTTCTAATCTCACCATTGTTGGCATCAATCTTAAAGTGATCAGAATAATCTTCTACATACACACACAAAGTAAGAAACTGATGTTAACTGACAAGGCAGAAAACAAAGGATCAACTAATACATCTACGATCACTTGGAATAATGACTTACCTTAAGTTGGGTGGGGGATGGTCACGTTTAAAGAGAGATATGTTTACCCTGGTCAAACCTTATACAATATGTAAATGCATAGAAATAGCGCAACATGTACAGCTTTCACGTTTTAACATATCTGTTAAAAATATTAATTTCAAAATGCCACTAAAATATAGGCAAGATACATAACAGATTTTTTATCTCAGGCATATTAAAAAAGTATACAGAATGATATAATGGACCCCCTTGTGATCACCACCTAGCTCCAATAATTATCAACTCATGGTTGATCTTATATCACCTATTCCTAGTTTATGTGTGTTCCTTCCCTACTTTCCTTTGAAGAAAGTCACAGAAATCACACCATTCCTTCTGTATACATTTCACCGTGAAACTCTAGGAGAGAAGCAATAGTTTTAACTAACCACAGTACCTTACGATGCTTTAAAAAGTAATAATGATCCCTCAATATTATCAAATATCCAGTAAGTTTTCAAATTTCCAGTCAGCTCATCAATATCTTTTTGTTTGTTTATATTAGCATCAAAATCAAGTCCATGTATTACATACTTCTCCATTTGCAGAGTTCTGCCATCCATTTCTTTATTTTGCCCTTGCATTTATTTTATTGAAAAAAAACTGGATCACATGGCTGAAGTTTCCCATGGTCTAGATTTACCTCTTGCATGTCTGATGTGTAGCTTAGTATGTTCTTCTGCTTTCTGTGTTTTCCTTAAATTTCCTTAAATTGGAGGTAGGTCTAGAGACCTGGCCAGATTCGGGGGTACATTTTGGCAAGACCACTTCTGTTGTTTCCTTTCAAAGGCACATGCCTGGCTACCTTTGACTTTGATGTTGGTTCCAATGACTCACAGCCTAGATCTACAGATTTATAAATTCATTATTGATTACAAAATGTATAATATTGTGTTGTATTAGGCTCTTTTCATTTATTACATGGAATATTTCAATAGAGACAAATTTCCTCCCATATGCTTTCTGGTAGCCCAGAGGAACAGTTCATTATAGGAAAAGCAAGCTAAATGCTTGTGCTAAATTTTATTGAGCTATTTTGAAATGATGGGTTGGTTCACCAACATCATCTAATGCTCCAACTGCAAGTGAAGTTTTGTCTTGTTTTTTTCAGTCGTTCTCATCATTGAACACTGGAATCCTCCAAAAGACGGACCCCAGGTCTTTGGACACAATCCAAGAAGCCTTTAGCAAACTCCTTGAATCTGGTGTGCAAAGTGGTACACGCTCATCTCGTAGAGTTTCTCTCCTAAGATCTGGAATCAGCCTTTTCTCCAAGGACTTCTGGTTCCTTTTGGTGGAAAGTGGGTTTGTAAGATATATTCCTGACAAAAAGAGGTGCTCACTGTTTTTGGATTGGCCAACACTCCCAGGACTTTCTAGTGGACAGAAAATAGATAAACATACACACTAAAATATATCCTAAGTTCATGCCTATAACTCAGCTCAATACCATAGCGTTTTAGTTAAATAACACATTGCTTTCTTCCATAATCTGACTAATTCAAACAATCCAAAAAACTCAGACAAAGCCGGAGTATACAAAGGCTTCCAGCTCTGATTCAACAATTGGCAACAATGAGCAATACTTTACCAGTTACAGGGGAAATGACAGCCTTTAAGAAACTCAGTTTGGAGCAGGAAATCATGTGACATTTATTGGTTGAGACTTCTATGCTTTTATCCACTCACTGCATCTCACAGGAATACTGGAAGATGCTCTCGTGAACATGATACATGTTAATTTTTATCTTGTTTTGTATTCGTCTCTATTTTGTTATGAGATACAGAAACACAAGATATATCACTGTATTTTTATATCGTTATGCCCAACTATCATTTCAGAAAGTAATTTAAAAATATCTCAGACATTCAGAAATATATGATGAGTGTTACGTATCACCTTCTAGATTGATCATTCCTCAATCTTTAAAGTTTTAAGAGAGGTGACAAAGTAGAAACAAGGCAGTGCATTGTCTACCTCCCGCCTTCCAGCCCCTCCTCTTTTTCTGTAAGCAGCCATCTTCCTAATTAAAGTGGGGGCTTATCTTTCTCCTGCATAACCCACCAACATACGCAGCATGGCTTTGCTGGTTTCTAAGTAATGGTACTATGGCAGGATTATAGTTTGATGCCTACGTGTGAAGGTGCGGGTGACGTGGATGACTACATGTGAGTGTGGGTGAGTACAGGTGAGTGAGTGTGGAGGAATGTGTGTGAGTGGGGGGTGTTGCTGTGAATGGCATGTGAGTGTGTGTATGTGGATTGTGGATATGTGAAGTGTGTGACCGGGTGTGGTGAGTGTGTGACTGGAGAGGTGTGTGTGTTGGTGAGTGTGAGTGTAAGTGAGTGTAGGTATGAAGTGTGTAAGTGAGTGTGAGTGTGTGAGTCCAAGTGAGGGTGTGAGTGTATGAGTATGTGTAGTGTGTTGTGTGAGAGTGTGTGTGACTGAGTGAGTGTGCATCCCTCTTCACCCCAATGCTTTTCACTGGTATTCCGCATTCTTTCCCCCACCTCAAAAATAAAACCGAAAAAAGATGACCCAGAGTTTACTAAGCTAACTTACCAGAAGAATTCTCTTTTTTTCTGTCTTTTTCTCTCTCTCTTGTTTTTGTGAAAGAGGGTGTTGTTGATAAACCCAGGCTGACCTTGAACTCAAGATCTCCTGCCTCAGTCTCCTGAGTGCTGGGATTACAGCCATACATAACTATGCCTGGCCAAAGAAAGATTTGTGAATGCATGCTTGCAAAGCCAGTTTCCTCTTTGGGGCCAGAACAGGTTAAGAGATTAGAAAGAGAAAGATGAGCAGTGACTACTGTAAGGACAGGGGGGAAAAAGAGAGAAAGGATCATTGTCCTCAAATATGGATCTCCTACAGCAGGTTCATCACTTGTGTACAACCCACTGTTCAAAGTGTCTCAGAAACGTAGAGAGATCATCTGGAATGTTTACAAGGTGAGGAAGTTAGGGTGCCTTCCTTGTGCAGCCAAGAAACCTAAAGGAAAAACTCACTCCTGGCCCAAGGTGAGGAGAAGAACCACTGGGGACTTCCCAGTGGACGGCAGTGCACTGAATGTGGTAAAGTGGACTTCCTCTGATCTCCTGTACCTTAAATTGCAAGATTTGTCCAGGTCCCCATGTACAAAGCTCTACTGCATTCACTGTCATTGCTGCAGAATATTCCACACAAATATACCATATTAAGCATACTGTTGAAACAATGCCTCCATATTCTGTCTCATATCTCATGCTGCACACACAGGAGTGACTCTAAGGTAGGGCAGAGAGGAACCGCCAGGCTTGGCACAAGCACAGCTCCAAGTTCATCAGATGCTGCTCTGCTGTTCCTCAAACCACTTACACTGAGGAGGCTGAGCACATTCTACCATGGTTTTGATGGTTCTAGCTGCTTTTCTGGGAACTACATGTTAATATCCTTTGTCTAGTTTTTTCTATCATTATTTGTCCTTTTCTTATTGATTTGTAGGAATTCTATATGGGTTGCAATTATCTTCTCCCACTCCATTAACTGACTTACTGTTGACAATGGCATCTTTTGTAAGTTCAGATTTTAATGTAGTTTCATTGATCTATTTCTTTGTGTTTTTGCTTTTCTTCTTATTTAAACATCATTCTTTACTCTCAGTGTCATACAATCAACCTCTTATATTTTCTTCTGTAAATGTTAAGGATTTTCATGTTTAAATAACCTGAAATAGAGCTATTATACACACACTTTTTTCCGTATGAGTAACAAATCACATCTACATCATGTATTGTTCATCCATCTTTTCCACACATATGTCAAGTCTCAATATATGTGAGATGAACTCTCTATTCTTTCCCACTGGTCTATTTGTCAAGCAACGAGTCAGCCCAATAAGGTCTTGATTTTAAAACTTGGCAGTACTGGGGTTTGAACTTGGGGCCTCAGGTTTGCTAGACAGGTGCCCAACCACTTGAGCCACACCTTCAGCTCTTTTTGCTTTCAGTTATTTTTCAGACAGGGTCTTCCTTTTGCCTGAGGCTGGCCTCAGGCCACAATCCTCCTTCACATGCCTCCTGTGTATCTGGGATTAGACACGCACTCCCATGGTCGGCTTGTTTGTTGAGATGGAGTCTTGCTTTTTGCCTAGACTGGCCTCATTTGCCTAGGCTGGTTTCGAACTACGATCCTCCTCATCTCTGCCTCTGGAGTAGCTGGGAGGAAATGTTTTATAAGTCAAGATATTGTGAAGCAAGACTCCCACTTGTTCTTTTTCTCTTCCATATGACTTTTAGAATCAGCTTGTCAAATTCCACCAAAAGCTCACTGAGATTTTGATTCAATATACTAAATTAATAAGTATGTGTTAAAGCATTTTCATCTTTAGGCTACTGAGCCTTACTAGAATGAATATGATTCATGTTTTTATTTCAACTTTTATGTCCTTCATTAATATTTTGTAATATATTTTCTTCAGAAAGATATTGTACATGTTTTACTGGTATTTTCCCTATGGCTTTTAGCAGGCAGAGATCCTGGTTTAGAGAGTTTTGAAGCTTATATAATTTGAGGATATTTCCTTGAGAAAAATAGGAAAATATTACAAATTGCTAACTGCTTCCCTCCTCTGGAGGGTTTGGAACGCAAGGTTCATTAGCCTCATACCAAATCTGCACTCTACCATAAGTTGTCTTTGTGATTTCACCCCAGTGAGTGACACCTTTGAAAACTGCTTAACTTTTAAAATGCTAATGAGCCTGTGTGTTGACATTACACCCAGAGAATTCATTGCCTTAGAGATTCCAATTCTACAGTACCTCTTGGATTTTCCATAAAGACAATCAAATTACCTGCAAGTAAGTTTATGCTGTCCCTTGATTTCCTCTGTTTGTGTCAAACACAATCATACAACACCAGAATTCTTTTTAAATCATCTAAAATACAGTGCCTACTGAAGCTAGTCACTGAGACAAATATGAAGCCTGCACATTTTAAGAGAAAACATAAAAGTAAGCCTGTTTCAGTGAAACATATGCCACAATACTTGCATGGCATAATTTATAGTGTGATACAAGGAGGAGTGTCTTATAGACGTTCAGGGATGTTTGGCACATGTACCATATTCAATACCACTTCTTATCTATTGACTACTACTTTCCTTTCAATAAAAGTTGATTTGTACTACCAATTAATGTAAATTATTCATTTAAGATGGATGGCTTCTAGTTAGGACATAGAAAACAAGCCGAGTTCTCACTAAAATTGTAAAATTCTGAGTTTTTTTTTTTTCTGAGGTGATTCTTAATGACAGCAATGTATTTGTTTGTACTTCGGTGTCATGTTCAAAGTTAGCTGGAAAATGCTGAGTAATCAAAATACAGAACATTTTCCCGGAAGGAAACAGACAGCTGATAAATGACAGAGGGAATTCTGGATAGTGACTTACCTGGAGATGCCATGTACGTAACTTCTGCATTGATTCCTATGTCAAGATCCTTCGCAAACACAGTTGTAACCAATGTATTTGCTGGCTGACCTTCCAGAACCTGTCATGAGAACAAATGGCTGAAATATGAGTCAGTTATATATTTTAAAGAAGCATCTATGGAACTTTAAAAAAAGAACACATTACACTAAGCACTGTTTAACTATTTTTAAATCCACACGCCCTTCAAATGTCTTCCATATGAAAATTCTATAGGTGGAAGTCCATTAAAAGAATTTACCTTACAAGTGTACATCTTTTACTCTGTTTGAACAAATTATCTGAGGCATTTGAAGTAATTTTGCAAATAAATACATAAAAGTAAATGAAATCAAATTAAACAATTTCATATTTTTGGATGCCTTTTAAAAGAATTCTAGAATCTTCTCATTCTTCAGCTTCTTATGTCATTGTTAACAGGTAGTTGTTACAGTCCTTTATGTGCTTAAAATAAATATGAATGTCTCAGGAACACACTTCCCACAGGAAATGTATCGTGTGCGTAATAGGAACCTCCCTGGATTGCACAGGTGGAGTCCACTGCCAGTAAGGCAAAGGATGCTTCAATGATGTAATTGTACATCATTATGGTAATATGCTCATTTTTGCTTCCATAGGATTTTTCTCTCAGTCTGGCTTTGGTGATCAGGTAAAAGTTACTAACTTCCTCAATACCTTTTTGAGTTGTTCAGTCTGCATTTTGAATATTCATTTTAATTGTTTTGAAGTATTAGCTGCTAAAATTCTTATTCCTATAATCTATCTGACTAAAAAAATGATGAGTGCCCCCAAAATACAATTACTTATTATGTACATGAACTAAGCTGCTAATTTTCTATATACATTATAAAAGACACAAAGATGCAAAAATAAAAAGATGAGGTAGTATAACTATAATTAGAAAAGTGTATCTGTGTATGTCTGTCTGTTTGCTCAGAAAGACCAGTGTTTACAGTCTCTGGATGAACACCCATCCACAGGAGGATTGCAGATAGCTCTCTTGTGTCAGTGACATGCGTCAGTTGCTCATAAGGAACTCTACACAGAGACACAAGCAAAACTGCAGGAAAAGCAATCCACGTGTCAGATCACCCATCCTGAGGTGCCATTGTGTCTGCATCAAAGGGCAGAACTAGGTTGCTTATTATCAAGCAACTCGAGGGGCAGTTTCAGAGAGTACACACATCCCTTCTGTCTTTCTTTTTAACACATGCACAGTTTCTAGGTCCTGTACAAATGCAACGCCACACCAAGACTGATTTGATAAATTCACACTTTTTACCACAAGATGGTGCTCAAAACAAATGACTAAGAATATTATAAATTCATTGCAAGACTACTTCACAAACCTTGATATGAAATTCCTTTCCAGGGAGACACTGTGGGAAAAACGGCCTGTTGTCATTGGTGTCGGTAACTGTGACATAAACTACCATGGTGGCACTTCGAGGTGGAGAGCCATGGTCTGTCACTAGGACAGTCATCTGATGGTGTCCCTGATGCTCACGATCCAGTGCCAACCAACTGATTAGTTCACCTGAGGAGCATGGGGCACAAGAGACTCAGACACTGTGCAGTAAAATATTGTCATCATGAATCACATCTGAAATAATCCACAGGAAGGAATCAAATTGAAAGTTTTGTGCAAAAGCACAACTCCCAAGAGTTCATAGTACTTTGGCTCTATGGTATGGTTGAAAAAATTTACTGACATTGTTCCTTTAAGTGCTGCTTTAAATTTGTCGTTCTTTGTATTTCAAATTATCGACCACCAACCATTCAGACTGAAAAGATGAATTCATGAAAACAAATGATTCGAAGATTTAAAATGACTGCTTATCCCTCATTATGTTGCAGCCCAAAATGGCAGAAAGAGGTGAGCTATGATGACATCATGAGTTTTGGGTTCCAGCTCCCCATCTATCTCCTCTCTATGCTTACTTCCTTGGGCTGCTACCGCAAACAATGCCATGGAAGACTTTAAGGTATTTTATAAGCTGTAAATTCCTGGCAGTTGTTATCATTACTTTACATGAATAGTAAAATATCTTCCTGAATGTCATGATCTTTGGGCAGTGTCTTGTCACTTGCACGTGCAAGCATTCATTTTTATCCTACAAAACATATACATAGCAATGGATGGTGACTTCCCAAATAACGACTGGTGCTTTACAAGCCTTATTTTATATATTCTTGCCTAAAAACGTGCTAGCTTTGGTTTCCTCATGTATTTCCTCATGAATCAGCCATGGAGACTCCGTCATAAAACTGTAACTGCCTCTCCCTGTTGCCAAGGGCCTTCCAAAGCCAAGTGCTTTGTCCAATAGCTGGTCTCCTGCTGTGGAGCTCAGTCATGCGGTGGTTCCCTTTCCATTTACAGAAATATATTCATGAGAAAGCAAATACAAAGCAGCTATCGCCAAACATTCTTACTGGTAAGATTTTCTTCTTCTTAATCCAAATGAAATGACATCGTATTACGAAGAAAGCTGAAAGGAGCAAAACTCACATTTGGGTAAGTTGTTGAATTGGTGAGCTTAAATTTAGCATTTACAATAAGTATTTACTTGAGAAACTATATTTATATAGTGTTTACTACAACTGTGATGGTAAAATAAATCATACGCACAACTGCATTTTTCAAGTTCCAATCCATAATTCTCTGAAAACCCAAAGTCCTAAATAGCCAACAGACAATAGTGTCATGAACCAACTCTGACTTACACTAGCAGTTGTTCCAAGGTCAGGGATGGAAGGGATGGTGAGGCTCAGGCTTCACCAAGCCAGGCTAATGGGAGCCAGAGTCCCTGTCACTAAGAAGATGGTCAGAGCTCCAGGGCTGGCCTGCCACACGCTGAAGGATGTCTCCAGCCCTGTCTTACCACTCCAGCAGGTGACAACAGTTTACCAGTACATAGTCTTTCAAGTCCCTTCATACACTTTACTCAGCTCTTTGCCCTTCAGAGCAGGACATAGAACATGTCAGCAATTGTCACCTCTGTTCATGGTAAGGACACAGTTCTGAGGTTGAGCTACTTGCTGAAAGCCATCCAAGATGGACTCCTGAACCTCTGAATCTGAGTGCTGGACTAACTGTAGGAGAAGGAAGTTCGTGGAAGATCCAGCTGAAGTTTGCATATCAAAACAAGTACAAAGGAGAATAGATGACCTAGAAAACAAGAAGTCTTGAGGATAAAAGCACAGGCAGGGTTGTCCTGTATACCCACACAGCCTGTGCCCTGCAGAAGGAGCCCCAGTTGAGGGAGTGAATGGAGCACAAGCAGCCTGCTGCCTTCCTGGTGAGCCACAGGCCCTGGTAAAAAATTCCACATGCTGGAGGCAGTGGCCCCTCCTGGCTTTTACAACAAAGGCTTGCAGTTCATCAGAACTAAATCTAAATCCTGTCCCATGAAGGGGTAGGGCACCGTTACCCAGCTTGTGACATGAATGGTGCTACCTGAAATCCTACAAACTGTTGGCTTCCTCTGTGCTGAGACCACTATGACCTCACTTCAGCTATCAGAGCCACGGTTTTCTCAGCTATGTATTTATAGCATAAACACATTTTGTTGTAAGGACTGAAGTCCTTGTAAATGTAAACAATATCAAATTTAAAATATAATACCTTTTTAAATTTAATTTTTAAATTAATGCTTCAAAAAGTAATTATGTCACTATAATTAACCCCGTCTTCCTGGTTCCCTTACTAACATGACATCCAGGACATATGTGCTTAGAGTGATTTTGAAATCTTAACTAATGTACTACTTTAAACTTGATGACATTTATATTTCATAAATATTTCTACAAATGAAAAAGCACGGTTGGTGAGAAAAGCAAAACCTTCACACAGAATTTATTCATTGCAATTCTGACTGTACCTCTAATTCAGTATCAGAACCACAAACAGTCATGCTCCACTAAATAATGGGGACACATTCTGTTAAATGTGTTATCAGCCCATTCCGTCCCTGTGCAAATGTAATATAGTACACTCACACAACCTAGATGGTACAGATTCCTGTACACCTGAGCTGTGCACCATTGCTGGTAGGCTGCAATTCTATACAGTGAGATACTGTACTGAAAGCTGTATGCAACTGTAACACAATGTAAGTATTTGTGTATCTACACATATCTAAACATAGAAAGGAAACAGCAGAAGCTCTAGGCAATGGGAATTGTTTAGTCCCGTTGTAATTTCATGGGACCTCTGTGCTATATGGACTTCATTGTTTACCCAACATCATCTTATACAGTACACATGTGTGTTGACCATATGGCTGGGAGGTAAGAAAAGTTGTACAATCACACAATACTATCATCAAACACTGTTGACTAAAAATTTAATTTTAACTGTACCTAAAGATTCAAGTTTTCTCCATCTGGTTTTCAAAGAATAGTGGAAGCAACAATACACTACCTGTGTTAGGATTCATCTTGAAGAATTCTCCACCAGACAAAAGGAAATAAGAGAGCTGTCCATTCTTTCCAGCATCGGTGTCAAGGGCAGTAATTTTGCCTACTACTCCTAGGGGAATAGGGCTCTCCTCCACTTTCAAAAACAACATGTCATGCAAGAAGGTAGGGGAATTGTCGTTCTCATCCAGGACATGAATAATTACTGTGGAGCTCACATTTTGCAACACTGTGTCTTTGCGGATCCCGGCAAATGCTGTCAGGCTGTATGTTCGTGTCCTTTCATAGTCAAGCCGTCCCCGCAGATAAATCCAGCCTGTGTGGGGGTGGACCCCAAACATGGCAGAGTTCATACTGGCCTCCAGGGAGTACAAGATCTGGGAGGCCTGGCGCTGCGGGCTGAGGGGCCAGGCCAGGATTTGCAAGATCTGTGTCCTCGGGGCGAGGGACTCACTCACCTCCACGTGATAGACCAAATTTTCAAAGGTCAAGGCCGGCCTTTCTTCATGCTTTTCCACTACTATGGTCAGCACCATCAGAGACGCCCGAGCAGGTGCACCATGGTCCTGAGCCACGAGGGTCAGTGTGTGCTTCTGAGGCGTGTCACCTCCCAGGCTCCCACGCAGGGACACCATGCCGAGCACGGGGTCCATGGCAAAGGCGCTGGGGCCTGGGCCTGCAATGGCATAGCGGATGAGTCCATTGGGGCCGCTGTCTTTGTCCTCTGCACGTGCGAGGTACAGGGCTGTGCCAGGAGGCGTGGTCAGGGAAATCCTGACCTCATCCGAGGCCCTGGGAAACTCGGGGCCATTGTCATTGATGTCCATCACCGTGATATTGACCTCTGTGCTGCTGCAGGCCGGGGAGCTGCCAAGCTGTGCCTGCACGGTGAGAACCACCACCGGCTGCGTCTCGTGGTCCAGAGGCTTCTGGGTGCAAATTGTGCCCAGCCATGGGTGAATGGAGAATGTTCCATCCAGGTCACCAGAAGAAATGCGATAAAAGATCAGTTCTGAGGAATCTGCAAAGACAGCGACAGCCATCACTGTAGGCCAGGAAAATGAACCTGGATACCCAGACACTGAAAATATCAATACATTCCACATGTGTGGAGAGCCTGTGTGATACCTCACTTCCTCCTCCAACCCCAAGGCCATGAAAAGGTGACATGGGAGTTAAGATTTTTTTGGTGGGTAAAGGAAAAGTGCAGTGGACAAAGAGCAAGTCACAGGCTTCACTCTTTTTGCACTAGGTAAAAGGTATAGCTATTCAACAGAAAAGAATTTGGATGCCTTTTTTGCATATTTGAGGAAAGCAAGTTAAGTTTGTGTTGATGCTTCTCTGTGATATCTACCTATGAATAGCAAATACCTTTCTTCCACAGAGATGAGAGGGAAGGAGGGATGAAAGGACAGGAGGGGCCTGGGAGGAGGACAAGCTTTTGGAGACAGAATTAATTCCCCTGTAGGACAGTGTGGATGTCCTGCAGAAGTCTCTCTGCACAGGAGAAAGGGAGTCATGCAAGGATATTGTTCTGGTACTGTTTGATAACAATAGATTTTAGATCATTCAGATTGGCAGCAAAAAGGAAATATTTAAATAAAACATGTCTAAGTTGAAATACAATGCAAATACTTATTTAATGAGACATAATTATGTACAGTTGACCTGGAAAGTTATTCAATTAGATAGATAGATAGATAGATAGATAGATAAAAGATGGATAATAGAAGATAGATAGGTAATAGAAGATAGATGATAGAGAGATAGATAGACAGACAGGCAGATAGATACACACACATACATATATATATTAAGTAGGGGGAATGGTAATTGCATAAGAAATTATAGGATATATTTTTGTAAAAAAAGAAAATTTTAAATGTGTTGGCGACTGGATTATAGGAAATACTTTGTACACACATTACAGTTATTCTGTATTATTCTGTTAAGCTTTCTTTTCAAAATGCCCACACTTTTGTTACCAGATAAAGATGTAGGATGGATGGAAACAATGTTGAAAAACAAGAGCAAGCCACCACTTGTGCTTCTCCATTCATTTTGTATTTAAGACTACATAGCCCAGGAAAAGACAGAAACATTTCCAATGATGGACTCTGAGGTAGCATTACAATTATATACTTACTTAAAGCCTCTCTTGCTTTCACTGTCCCGACAGAACTGCCTTCAGGCACATCTTCATAAACCAAGAAAGTGTACTTGGGCCTTTCAAATCCAGCAGGAGCGAGTGTGGTGGGAACAATGTGTACAGTGACATCAGCATTAACAGCAGCCGTGAGCCCACCACCATCTTGAGCACAGACCACCAGAAAAAGTGTAGCAGGTTCCAAATGACTGAGTGTTGATGTTAAGTAAATAATTCCTGGGTAGGGGAAAGAAAGAATTGCAGATGGTAACATGCAATAAATACTAATAGTAACACGTGGTCCTTGAAGTCTATTGTGATGTTTAATTTTATGTGTCAACTAGACTGGGTCCTGGGGTGTCCAGCTATTTGGTCAAACATTATTCTGAGTAAGTCATTAAAAGTGGTTTTGGATGAGAATAATGTTTAAAATCTTAGACAGAAGACAGTAGATTGTTCTCTGTAACATAGGTGGGCCTCTATCTCTTCCAAAGAATTGAAGCCTGAATAGACCATAAGAGCTGACTTCTGGTGAGGATGAGAAAATTCTTCCTGCCTGTCTTCAAATTGGGATACTGATTTTTTTTCCCCTGCCTTCAAACTGAAACATTGACTCTTCCTGGGTCTCAAGTTTGCTGGTTTTCAGTCAGGGATAAATCACTGGTTCTCTTAGGCTCAGCTTTCTGACTTACCTTACAAATCTTGGGACATGCCAGCCTCCATAATTGCATGAGTTAATTCCTTGTAATAAATCTCTTTACAGATATGTAAATGTGTATTGTGTGTATGCAAATGTACAAACAACCTATTGGTTATCTTTCTCTGGAGAACCTCAATTGAGAGAACCTGAAAACTGACATCCAAATTCCATCAAGTAAGTGGTATTTTCACAGAGCTTAAACATTAAATATTTTGGAAGCATATCACTTCACCCAAAGACCATTAATTGTGTGGCCTTTTTTTTAGACCTTGCTACCATGTCACCAACTCCAAATGATGGAATCATAGGGCATACCCCACAGTCTAACTTGCCTTGAAGTGGTGCTACCACGGGTATAGGGTGATTACAACCTGCCCAGGTTCCAGAATGCTAAGTCCACAAGATGGAACTAAAATTGTATTTTCTGAGGTATTTGATGTCTGTCCTGGCACAGCAGCCCTCTTTGTCAACCAATTCCTCTCTTAGTTGGTGAGAAGATATAATTGGACAGATGCATTACAAAAACTCTTCCATGTGTTAAATCAGAGGAACAAGAGTGGAAGGTTAGGCTGTGAATGTAGCATGTGGAAGAGAAGAAGGTATTTACGGTCAAGTTGGGAAGGGATTAGGCAGTGCTGAAAAAACTAGTTATTCACTATTGTTAATACTGCCTTTCAGTGTAATTGGTTTGAAAACAAAAATAGATGCAATTTAGCCAACTTAAGAACAAATCTATTACCAGTGGGAGGGGGACGGAGCGGGGGGAATAGTGAAGGAGGGTGAATATGGTGTAAATACTGTGTATACATGTATGTAAATGGAAAAACGATATCTGTTGAAACTATACCAGAAATGGAGAGGGGAATGAAGGAGAATGATGGAGGAGTTGAATTCAAATATGATATAGTGTAAGAACTTTTGTAAATGCCACAGTGTACCCCTACCCAGCACAACAATAAGAAATTGTTTGTTTGTTGTTGTTTTTTAAAGAATGGACCTGTTGGTTTTGTTTAATAAGAACATACATACAGATTGGGTAAATTTGCATACAAATAAATATACCTGTAGAATCTGTCATGATATATTAGTTAAATGATGGAATACCTCACTTTTTGCTAATTCTGAGAAGCTTCCAAAAACATGAGAAATGCGATTTTCTGAGCATAAATTACACTTATTCAGTTTCTCTTTGTGGGTCAAAACTTGCCTATTTAACAACTTTGATTCCTTGTTTCTGTTTCTTTTAGAAAGTTAATCAAACATGTCTCATTTGTCTTTGGCATAAAACACCAGCACTAATTAAAGTCAAATATTTTGCATAACATCCTCGAAATACAATATCCCTATTTTTCCCCAAGCTTTATTGAGGCATAACTGACATATAAAATTGTATCAGTTCAAAGTAAGCAATGTGATGATTTGAGCTCACCATTTTCTTTAATAGCTCCTTATCTAACATGATTTAAGGTAATTTCCTTCATGGTTCATTTCTCCTGAATATGCTCCAAGCTGATTATCCTAAATTGGGCACCCAAAGCAAACACTTTTCTAGATCAATATATTACAAAGAATAGTATAAATGCTCTTTATTAAAGTGCTATAAAATACCACTAATAATGCCAACTATCATTGCCTAGTTTTAGCAGCCACAGTAAACTTGGGGTTCATTTAGATTCAATGACCCACCCATCCCATAAATTTCTAAGTCAGATATTTCCTATCAGTAGTAGTACAGTTTAAAACTCCTATGATGTAAATTCTTTAATTATTAATGTCTGTGCTTGGCTTAAAAAAGTAAAACTCAATTGCTTGAGCCCAGGAGTTTGAGATCAGCTCAAACAATACAGTGAGACCCTGTAACAAAGGGAAGGGAAGGGAAGAGGAAGGGAGAAAGGGAAGCGGAGAAGCAGAGAGAGAAAGAAAAATAATACAAAAAGTATCAACAGAAGAAAATGAAAAGTCCCTCAACAATCTCCACACCCTGGTGTATGTTGTTCCAGAGTTAACTCAATTCCAATTTTGCCTGTTTGAATATTATGACAACAAGGAAATGAATGTCTGCTCAAACAGATTACAACCTAGTCTTCCTGCCTCCAGACAGACTCGTGGAACATTCTTCATACTTGTAATAGGACAGCCTTCCTGATGTCTGCATCTAAGTATACCTATGCCTTCATGTTTTCAAGCTGAAGTTCGTTGTCTTAACATACCAAATCATGCATGAGTTGACCCTTTTCCATCTCGGTATAATAGCTCTCTCTGTATAATGGCCTTTGCTCTCACAAAAGTGAAGTTCTTATACTTTCCAGAATAGAACTTGCTCTTTCCTATTCAGATCTTTTTCCCAGAACGACTTCTTTGCTTTGTCTAATCATATTTTAATGTACAACTCAAGTCTCACCTGGTGCAGGAGGACTTCACTTAAACTCCACAGAGCACTAGACATCAGCCTTCTATGATCCCAGGTCACCCTCCTATGGCCTAGGATCATATGCCTACTAGAAATTGAGGACATTATAGTTTAGTCATTATTTTTATGTTTATTATCATTCACTTACTTACTCATTGGCACATTCAATGATTTATAAATAAAATCAAAATATAACATTTGGAAAACATATAAACAACAATTTAGTATCCATAACAAGAGTTCTACCATCAAGATGAAAATCCAAGTAAACTTACTGGAAAGTGAATTCTTGTGGTAACTGTTTCCAGAATTTTTATTTCTTCAATTTTAATTTTTTATTAAATGAAAGAATTATACTCAGCTAAGAATAATCAAAGAAATGGACACAGTTGATAAATGCAATTATCTGTCTTCAAACTTTCAGGACTCCTTTGCACTGGTATGAAATAGGCCATGACTTAGAAAAATCTAACAGGGCTGCTAGATCACTTCTGTGTTTCTTTAAGTATATTAAATGTACTTATTTTATTCATGGTTCAATCATAAATATAGAAACCATGCTATAAATTTTGGAGAACATTTAATTAAAGGAGGTAATTATGTGGGTATAGGAAAAGTAAGAGTCAGAGAGGGATGATAAATATTTACTACAGGAAGCTGTGACCATCTCTAAATTTACAGGGACAATAAAGAAATGGTAGCAGTACTTGTACTAAAGGGAGGAGGAAGAGAAGCCACAGTGGGGCTCTGCACTCAGAAGTAGCCCCATGTGTATGATACCCAAAATTCTGAGGCACCTCCTTACAGCTGATACTTAGGTGTCTCACTTTCCCTCCTGCATTCAGCACTCCACACACAGATGAGTGAAGTCTGTGATGTTTTTTATCCTTTCCTTCAAGTGCTATGAATGTTAGATTTCTGATTCTGTATGCTAATTTTATGTTCTCAAGGCTACGTTTATTTGTGAATGATTTTAATTAAATCTTAGCAGAACCAGACTCTCTACAGAAACCTGGCATCTTAGACATTTTCCATATGGGGAACTGATTCTTAAAAGCAAGGCAAGAAATACATTTTTGAGAGTTTATGGAATAATAAAAAGACCATGAAAACAGATCCTTAGAATCAGATATAACTGGTTCAAATCCCAGTTTTATCAATTCCTAGTTTGACCTTGAGCAGTTTCATAAATGCTCTGAGTCTGTTTATCCTCTGTGAAAACATGTGGAATCAGACCAACATCATTTACTATGCAACAACTAAGCAGTACATATAACCAAACCACTTAGCACAGCATAGGGCCTGACATAGACTGACTTCATAGTACAACACTAGCCAATACTACCTCCATCCCCTCCCTCCCAAGGACTTTAAGGTATATGGGTAATTTATGGGAGAATTGACAAAGAGTGATTTAAAGGTCCTATGAGGGACAGTTGGGGAAATTGGAGTAGCATCCATGTTCTATAAAATTCCATGAAAAGAGTACATAACAAATTCAATAGAAAAGTCCTAACAGCCTGTCTACCACGGCCCCCCAGGCACTGTGGAGGAGACTGTAATGGCACACCTTATACCTACATGTCCAGCACCCTCTGGTAAAATGGAAACACTAATGCCACAGCTTTATCTCAACCAGTCTTGGGTGGATATACAGTTTCCATTTGTACTGCTACTGTGGATGCTTATATCTTTTTATTGGGTTTACAATGTGCTCCCTCCCCAAGTTAATATTTCAAAATCATTTGACTAATCCTTCCTGGTTTCATAAGCCTACATACTGACACAGGTTACCCAAAGGACTGTGGACCAGGAGTTCCTTCCAAGGAGGCCCAGATACACAGCTAGTGAACAAAGACATAAGACCAAATTTTTAGCTTTTTTTCTCTCCTACTTGGTCATTTGAAATACACTGATAGAGTTCAGAATACCACCCTATCAACACTACTACACACTCCAATCCACCACTACCAATGGCACTAAGCACTGACTGAAATAGTCAGTTGAAAGGAAAATTATTTTCTAAAACTCCTTGATGACCCAGACCTGAGTGGTGATGTCACTTGGGGGAGTCCCATGAGAAAGTCATAATTCTGGCAACAATAGAGGAAAGAATCATTTATTATT